AGTAGCCAGATTAAGTTCTAGTTGGGCTTTGGCCCTTCTAATTTTCTCCCTGCATAACCTCACGACATCCTTGTAGTCCTCCTGAGTTGCCTGCCCTTCTTCTGAGTATGAACCTAAGTCAGCATTCAATTTAACACTTAGTTCAACTTCAGACATACAGAACTTTCCTAAAACTTTTCTTATTGTTGAACAGTTCAGAAACTACAGTAATTTTCTCTGCAGTTGAGGTGGGGAAATTTATCCCAAAGCTCCCGATTACTTTTCCCCTCGCTTTTTCCTTCCTCAAAACCATTTGCTTAAGACACAACTGATGTTTACTCAGTACTATTCATTGCCATGAAAAATTTGGTTCTTTTCATCCAAGACTGTTACCCTCATGCGTAGAGTACTCTTGCCAGACATGCTTGAGTCTAAAATAATAAAATAGAGACTATGATAGATGCAGTGATAAAGAGATCAGATAGTGCAAACTAAACACTTGAGAAAGACTACTCTGTACCATTTAAATGTATATAAACTCAAATATACTTACATTTAATTTCTCAAGAGGCTGTCCGAGTGAGTAGATTACGTAAGACTGAAGATGATCAGTGTATTTCTGTTTGGCTTCTTTTTTCTCAGCCTCAAGACAAGAAATTTTCAAGCGAGAAAGTGTTGCAAAAATATGATGGAAGTTCTCCATCATGACCACATCTCTGGGTGTTTTCTGGCTTTCATTAGCTACTTTCTCAACTGAAAGAAAAAGGAAGCAAAATACTTAAAATACGAAAAGGACAACCAAATTCAGAAAAACATAACCGATAACCGTAATACCGTCAGAAAAGGAATTCTGTAACATAAGAAGTAACAGGCTCTAAGACCATGAAATTTGTATGCCAAAAAAGTCACTTATAAAAAGATACAAAATAGTGACTACATATGGTCATTTACGTAAGTGAGAAACAACCCACATTCTGTGGAAGTTTACAAGCATGCTTTTGTTATCCCTAATAAATTTCACATGACAGAGCTATTTAAGAAAAGTCTCATTCCCCTCTTTGCTATAACAAAAATCTTCAATAAGGTGGTGGGGTTTTTTTAAAGTGTACTTCCTAGCCTCTCAATTTTTGCTTAGCTTAATAGTTTCATGGTCAAAGTTACTGTCAATCCCCAAATTTAGTAATAAAAATGGATAATCCTGTACATAGGTCTCTTACTTTCATCCCGCCCCCAAAGAAACCCAGGGCAGGCAAAAGAAATTCTATGTATGACTCCCTTATTGCACCTAAAAGCAGGCTGAAAGAGGATGGCTTCAAAGAGCGCAATTAAGTCTCTATGCCTGTTCATCAGTTAATCATTTTGCTGAGACTACCAGGATGCCCACCATCCCCCCACCAAATGATCCTGGGCACCAGAGTATCAATAAAGATCATAAATTCATTTGAGTCAGAACACTGAATTGCCAACTAGGAAGAGTCTGCTACTGCCAATTTTGCTCTTCCCATGTAATTTTATAAACACCTCCTCCAATTCTACCTGAAGTACTACAACTTTCTGACCTGTTTCAATCATTACTTGTAAATTAAATACCCTACTGCATTAAACTTACTGCTTGCACTGATTTTGTACATAATTTTGACTTTGTTTCATCTTCATTCTTTACTTCTATCCCTTATCCTCCCCCATCATAATTATTTGTTAAGTTTGCTCTGTACTTGTCTGAAACAGATTTTGTTTCTTTTTCGGTGTTTGACTGGCATAATTTTGAAGCCCTTTTAAAACATGCTTTTCTAAGTTCTTCCTACACTAGTTATTTTATCATTTTATAGTTTTGCCTGTCTCTTGATGTTTGCTTAGTTTTATCACTTGAACAGTAAATTCTTAAGGACAGAAAAATTGGGTGCAATCAAATAAAAAACATTCTCAAAATTTACTGTCTTATCAGCTGGGATGCTCCTGCTGACTACATATGCACTCTTGTCTACTGTACTATGAAGTAATGTCTCTTCACAATTTCCTAATATGTTCAGAACCACTATGCTATAATTTCCTCAAACTAGCTTTATTGCCTCTACTGTCTCCTCTTGCTCAATCTTCCCCTAAAAAAGAGGTAAGTCTCAGTGGTTGGGAAATACTCTATGTGGAGTTGTTTGAAAATTTGCAGGTAAATCAGCATGGAGAGGTCCATCCATCCATGTCCCTCCCATTTTAAAAGGGAAGGACAGTATTTCCAGAGTTCATTGGCTTGCATATCCCCCGCTTTTTTGTTTTGTTTTTTTAATGTTAAATAAAACCAGTAGAACAAGGGTGTTGCTGCTGTTTTTCCAGACGATAGCTGGGAAAATAGGGAGGACTAGAGAGACTAGGCTAAGACACAAAGGACCTAATCTGCCAAGAAGAGTTCTGGCTATGAATTTGACCCTAAGTGGTTTATTTTAGACAGGGCTGTGAAGATAAACAATATTAGGGCCAAATGCCAGGTATCCTATCCAGATTATTCTCCTCGTCTAAGCTACACTGGGGGAGAAAAGACAGGAAACCACTTCAGATTGAGCATGTCGTGTTGCTGCCATCTCCTCTCTCCCTTCAGAGTCTAAACCACTTCCCTCTGTCTTTAACTGAAAGTTACTTTACAGGTATGTACAAAGGGAAGTATCTACAGTTTGCTCTTAAAAAGTATATTACAATCAAAAGGTTTACACTTGCTCTCCTACCGATAACAGAGAGAACCAAAATTTCAGCACAGTATCAGTCACGTGACTTGCAACAGAGACTCTTAAAAAAAAAATCATGTTAATTGGAGCAAAATTATATATAAATAGGAGGAAACAATCATTTTAGTAACTACGACAACCTCAGAAGACCTACCACTGACAAAAACCGCTCTAATAAGTTTTATGTAGGCTTTATCTAGATCTCCTCGTCGTTCTGCATTTTTGAAAATTGATTCAGCGAGGGCTGCAAATTCTTCAAATTCAGCAACAAATGGAAGGATCCCAACTTTACTCTTCTTTGAGATTTTTACTTCATCCATCTGCTTCATTTGGTTACTCTTAAATTTAAAACAAGAACAGATGTTAGCCTCTAATATATGACTCCAGACCATGTAACAACTAGTAAAACAAAAGAAAAATGCAGACATACTGAAAAACTGACATTTATTCAAAACATGGAAATAATTTTATAACTTTCAGTTAGTATATCTACTTAGTCTTCCTCCCTTTTTACCCTCAAAAATTTGTTAAGAAATAAAATTATTGGAAAGAAAAAAAGGAAGATGGGCAAGTAAAATCTTCCTGATTTTATTCTCCTTTGTTTACTTACTTAGTATTAAAGTTAAAATCTTCCAGCTTTTATTCTCCTTTGTTTACTAACTTAGTATTAAGGGAAAAAAAAAAAAAAGGAAAAAAACCCCCACAAATTTATCCCCCAGAAGCAATTAACAATTTTCATTCTATAATCTAAAAAGGAACTTCGCTTTTCTGATTCAGCCAAGCTAACAATTCCTTTTGCTACAGGAAGTTTCTTTAATCTTCTACTGAAATTTTATTTCTGAGTATAATCCAAAAAAAATCAGCTTCAGAATATTTTAAGCATTAAACTGATCAAGAATGGTCAGTCTTACTATGTTGGCCTAGAGTCAAGTTACATTTATGACAATTAAAAAAAAAAAGTTATACCAGCAACTATGTTTTCACTAAACTTGCCATTATTTCATATAATGCTCATATCATATTAGCAAAAGGAAGTTTCTGCTAGCAGAAGTTGCCTCTCCTACTGCCAAAAGATTTGCCAATTTATCTAAACCAAGTTTCTGTTAGATATAATATAGAAATAACTGAACATATGGAAGAAATGTCTATTTGGTATATTATGCTTAAAGGGGAAAAGCAAAACCCTCCTAAATCCATGAGTTTTGTTTTGGTAAGTAAAAAAGGCAGAGAGCTATAGTTTACTTGACTGACTTCAGTAATCTCAGTAAGAGTACAAGTTTAAACAAACAAGTAAAAATGTCAACTAGCTCACAGCAGTGAAAGAGTGGTCATATTTCTTACAAATAGCTAATTATTGAAGAAGGAATGGAGAGGAAAAAGAAACACAACCACCAATTCGTTCATCTTTTCTGAAGGTTTGGCCAGTAGAAGAGCAATAAAGTTACTCATTCTCACTTCAAATGAAAAGCAAAAATTTAACTATAAAAGAAATGCAAAAATCAAACTGGGTAGGAGAGGGCTTTCTATAATATAGTTAGCTTAATCAGAATAACTAAAGAACTTACAATGCATTTATCAAAGTTCCTTTTGACAGTCACCAAAACATTTCCAAGTGTTGTGCTGAGAAAAGAAGCTGGGTCCACATTTTGTGCTGTCCATACATGATGACTCATCTTAACTAACATATAAAGCGAATTAAAGCTATCAATCTTGTCCCCCAGCGCTATAAGATTATTCAGCTCAGGTTCAATACAACGAAATATTTTTGTCATCATTTGTCGGATCATGTCCTTCCTATTAAAAATGCATAAGATAAAAAAAAAATATTACTCTGACAGTTTACTAGGCTATTTTACACGTCCTTTGATAACATTTTTAGGATAAATTTATTGGATACAGTAGTCTCATTTGCATTCAACAAACCTCATGATTTTCAGAATGCTGCTAAGGGAAGAAATGCCAATGCCACACAGTAAAAATCAATAGTCACAGGTATAAAATATTCCAAAAAGTATTTTCTGTGTGGAAGCTGCCACACACTCAAATTCAGAACTTTGCTACGCATATTTTCCAAAGCATATTTTACATATTACAGCGCCTAGTTTCATTTTGCAAACTATTAGAGAATTAAGCATCTTTTTTAATACTACTATAGACAGAAACATCCATCCTATATACAAAAATTTTTATATTTACTGACACATTCAGTATCTAAGTACAAATTAAGCGTTCACTATTCATTTTCACTAAAAGGGAACAATTTCTGATTATAGAGAAAAAAGTTTTATATGCCAAATAAATTCACATGTAGGCTTAAGAATCAGTAATATACAACAGCAGCACATACTCAGATGATATTGTTTGTGGAGCACCAGAAGTGTATGAACGAGATAAAGTTCCTCCATCCATTTCCTCCGCTTCATTCTGTAAGAACAAGGAATGTATATACAGGAAGCTGAAAGCTTGTCTCCAATCCTGTATTTAAGTGGTAAGTATATCTGACAAAACCAAGATAATTATCAGCTTCCCCCCCGCCCCCCCCTCAAAGTAGCAAATACAGTGGTTTGCAAGGTGCTGGTAGTTTTCTGGCCACGTTCCCCAGAATACACCACTATCCACAATTACTCCCCATTGCCTTCCTACATAGCATGATGAAGTGTTTATTGTGACCTTATGAGGAAACAAACCATGGCAGAAGAAACATGTCAGTCCTTCTTTAACAGATTGTGCATCGGTCAGCCAAAAATAAAGATTCTGCCAGCTAATGGAGAAAAACAAATCAGTGATCACCTGGATCACATAATTGCCAGATAAATTCAGGAGTTATCTTTTAAACGGGTCTCTTATGAGGCTTGTTCAATATTTTTTACTTCAGTGGCAGAATTAAGAGTCATACCGTTGTTGTTCCCGAGATGCTCTGATGTTGCTGTAGTTTGAAAAATTTACTAATGAAGTCCTGTTCTGCCAGACACAGAGGCTCTAGTTCACTTAATACTTGCTCGAAAATCTAAAGAAAGGCAAATATTTTACCAACACACCAAATACTATGAACAGTTAGTAATACTAATTTTAATTGTTGCATAGGATTTTATACTTTCTATCTTCATTAAGCTTTAGAGGGCTTATTTCTACTTAACAGAAATGGAAACAGTTTGTACTTAGATCTTTAAAAGTGATACCTGCATTTTCAACAGTCCCTTCTCATCCATATACACTGGGAAGAACAACCTATGTTTTTCCACGACTAGAAGTTTTCTAGTCACAGCCTGAGGAAGGACTTTTGTGCTATAATGAAAACATTCACATTTTAATAGTAAGTCATGCGTTCTGCCACCCTCTTTTCTGCCTGGATTGCTGAGAGGAAGATGACAAAATTAAAAGCCTCAGAGAAGAAAAACAGGTAAACTGTGTATGTAGAAGATAACTGCTCTGTAGAAAAAGTTTCTACATAGCTGCTACAGAAACCAACAGCAGGTTTTGTACTGAAATAGAAGTATTCATCATGATTTTTAGTTTTAATCTAAAATGAAACACTATTTTGGCAATAATTCATTCAAATAATTTAATTTTATTAATACGAACTACTGAAATGATAAGTCAGGTGTTAGACATACTTCTAATCTGTCACCTTTACACAACACAGAATTTTCTCCGCAAGTATTTAAGGATTAAGATATGCAATAATTTACATAAATAAAACCAATCTAGCCACATAGTAAATCCACACTACTGAAAATTCCCCTAGGAAAAAAAAAAAATTGAAAAAAACTACTAGGTCAGCGCAGTAGCTTACAACTCTGTATACATTAGTCACACTCACACGTCCCCAGCGGGTGTGAGATAAAAGTCAGAAGTTGTTGAAAAAGGTTAGCACAATACTTGTATAAAATTGTTTTAAAAAGCTATCATTTTAATTCTAGACAAGTTGCTGCTGCAGGTGTGTAATAACTGTTTCAGGCATATAATATTTCCTCCCAGAAAAAGACTGAGCAAGGATTTGAAGGAGTCAGAAGAAAAATACTCATTTCCACCAAATAATTCAATAGAGAACAAGAAAATTATTTTTATCTCTCACCCCGATAACAGCTCCTTTTCCCTCCACAGTACTGAGGAGTTAATTCCACAAGAAGTGAAGAGTACTGTCACTTTTAAAAGTTCGGGGGGGGGAGAACCAACAACCAACAAAAACCCCCAAAACAGATGCTGAGGACAGCAGGTTTTTAAACAGACAGAATCATAGAATAGTTTGGGTTGGAAGGGACCTCTAAAGGTCATCAGGTTGCTCAGAGCCCCATCCAACCTGACCTTGAGATGCTGAGGACGCTCCAATAACAACTTAGTGCCATTGGTTAAAGCTGAAAACTGATGGTAACTGTGATGTGAAACCAGTATAAATAAAATTTTAGGGCCATGCTCAAGTCCTGGCTAAAAGAAGATTATGCTTTCTTATCTTTCACTTTTGCTTACATACTGGCAAAATGTGACAGAACACATGAACATTTGTATTGAGGGAAAAAAAAAAATCACTTGAAGAATCCATCAGTTCAATTCCTATTTGCTTAAAAATGCATATTGGGCTTAAACTTAATAGACCATTTTTTATGCTTGATATTCTCTACAGATCACACTAAGCATATAAAGGAACTAAATGGAATCTTATAATCAGAGAATAATACTCTGATCTACATATTTCTTAGAAACTGCCTTTATTACGTGTGGTGCGTACAGAATTTGAAATAGGCATGTTTTAAGATTTAAACAGTACAGATCTTTAAACTACACAAGAAGGATATGCAAGACGCTTCTAAGACAAAACTAAGCAGAAACATGATGCAACATTTTGGCTTTACCTTATCAAATTTTGTTCTATCAGCCACATCAAGGTCAGAGGCAGACATGTTTCCCATATCCAACAGTGAGGATGACTGAGACCTACGGTTTCCCGAACTCTGAACAGAGAGTTTATTTAGGCTAGAAGTAGACCCAGTCAATTTTCCAGAACTTCCATGAAGACCTGTGAAATAAAGACGTTATGAAGGAGGGAAGCAAAGGCAGAATAAAATACTCAAGAAGAACAGGTTCATTACAGAACATATGAGATCGAGTTGCTAGTAGTCCTACATTAAAATCAAACAACTCAATTTTTGTCTAAGCTGCAAATGCTGTTGCTATAAACACATTCTTTTCTCATTACAAGGTAACTGAAATACCTCAGCAAGTTTCAAAGGACGATGCAGCTATATAAGCCCTCATTGTAAAGTATGGAAAAAGGTATAAAAGGAACAGAACTGTGAAATATAGGAACACTGGAATAGATACTCTCCTTGAAAGCTTGGAAGCAAAGACCAGTTATGATCTTCGTGAATGTACTTTGGGCAAAGGCTGCCACAAGCAGAAGAATTAATCCACAAGAAGGAAAAAAATTGAAAAGCTTTATATACACACAGGCACTTTTTAATCTTGAACTTGACCTTTCTGCTGTTAACATCCTTCTGTCTACATAGTTTGCTCCAGCTATTTTGCTGGATCTACAATCCCACAGTAACTCTACTGCTAATGCTTCCCTCTCCTTTTGATCATAATTAACATTCAGACATTTCTTCCCGATATTCCTTCCCCTGTGGGGCCTTCTCCTAGGTGAGGAGCATCTCTTTTTATTTTTATTTTTTCCCAAATTTTCAGAAATATTGGAACAGGATGGAGAAATCCAGTAACAAAAAAGACCAAGAAATCCTCAATATTTGACCCCCATATAAGCCTCTCACATCTCAACCACAAAGAAACTTAAAAGCAATCCTGCAAGTTTCATTTAACTGCTATGTTGGTATCTATTCTAGGGACGCAAACAAGACAAAGTCTATAGATCTAATAAAAGTTGTTACCTTAACCTACTGGAAGAGTTGGAAAGCTACGACAAGCTCTCAGGCACAAATGTATTTTTTAGATCAACTGGTAGCATGGGAAAACCAAAAGATGTTGCCTTTACCTGCAAACCTTCTCAACTTCTATATTGGGCCATTTTAGCCGTGCTTCATTTTTTGCCTTGCAAAAACAATGATTCTGCTAATGCTTATTTCAATTTCATTCTGAACGGAGTGCTTCAGCGTTAAGTAGATTTTCCACGATGCAGCACTACATCGTTACATTGACACACATGCATTGACAATACCAACTAATGCAACTAGTTATACTCACTCTCAGTTTCCTGTTTGACAGCACTTTCTTTTCGAGGCAGTGTAGCTGGGATGGATTAGGTTGCAAGCATCAAAGACAAAGACAAGTTAAAATGCAGTTTGCACAAACCATGCACAAGATGCAAGTTAAGCTCTAACTGGAAAGAAACATGCGGAGAACTATAAGCAGCAAGTAACTACATTGCAAACACATTTAGTTGGAGAGGTACTATTCTAGAAATTCAGTATCTAAGCTACATGGAAAACAGTAAGTTTCTAGATATTAAACTTTACTTTTTCTTATACAGTGTGTTCAAAGAACATTTTTGGTAACATGTATTTAAGTTCTCCCAAATTGAGAAGTCCATTAAATTAGGGTTATATTTGTCAGAGTTAATGTTGCAAAAGACTCAGTTTCCAAGATCAATCATCATATCGATAATATACATGAAAAAATTAAAATGTATTTATGTAATTTTGTACTGAGTCAGAGATATTGTCCACCTCTTCAATTTAAAAAACACACACCAATACTGCAAAATCATTCATATCAACAGTAAGACTGGCTAACCTTTTCTGTTGTTCGCAAATCAGGAAGTTTACATAGAGAATACATCTTTTGTATTCATGCTGCACCAAAAATTGATGACTGCAAATTCGGAGAGGAGAAAACAATAAACATATAGTAAAAAAGTTTACAAGGTGTTTTTTTACTTTTCCTGTTTTTTGCAGAATAAAACAGTTTCCTCAAGTGGACTTCAATATGAAATTTAGAGTAAATGGGCATTTGTAGTAAATAGAGAATCCCTAACCAGTAAAAGGCATTTGCATACATACACTAAAAGCAGTATGTGGTATTAAGAAGATCTTGATGAGGATGGATGCTACAAGCCCCCCAGAATGGAGCAGGCAAGCAGAACCTACTGTAATAGAATGAGTAAATACTTCTAAATGCCACAAACATGTCTTAAATACCAGATGTTCTCAAGTAGGCAACACTACTGACAATTATAATGTCAAACTTGAATTTAATTCCAGCCTAGTTTTTAGATCTTGGGGATTTTGGCAGTTTTTTAATAAAAAGGTTTAGGCCTGATATATTTGGCATATGCATCTGCCATGCATTGGTCCCACTTCTTCATCATCCTCAATTTCCAAATGCACAGGACTATATTACAGAATGTGAAGAACTACAGGCAAAGGTCAGGCCCTGGACAATCTGGGAGCCATAGTGGCTTTTGAGAAGCCACATCATATAAACATATGACAGTAGTAGCACTCTTTCCCACATTGATTTTATGGTATTTAAGTATCAAAGTCTTGGCTTAATCAGGAAAAAAAAGAAAAAAAAGAGAAAAAAAAGACTACTTAAGACAAGTGTGAATGCTCACGACCCAGATTTTTTTTTTTGCCATAAAAATGCAGACAAAGAACCTTGCACTAGCACAGAATGCCAGAATTCTCCCAGCATCCCCTCTGCGTTTGAGGCATTCAAATAGCAGTGCTATTCCCAAAGCACAAAAAAAGGCAAGAACACACACCAACACAGCTTAGAAACAGGTCATCTTTAGTGTTCGAGTACAACTGGAGCATTATGCACCTACACTATTCCTTAAATAAGTTTACTATTAAAAGTGATGTATTTTAAATTAATGTGCAACTAGTAATAGTACAACCACTACCTTCAACATAGAAGCCTTTGAAATTACACACCATTATAAGCTGTAACAAAATAAACACATAACTTGATATTTAAATGGTGAAATAAAATCATATTTATATAAGGAACAGCTTTTTAAACATATGTAATTTGCTTTCCTTCTTTATAAGATTAGTACTGAGGACTGAAGTTTTTTTAATCCAATTCATTGTCAAATTCGCTTGTGGCCTCAAATATGCAGCCATTACTTAATGGCTTAATTTCCTAGAATTATTAATGTTATGAATGGTGAGTCCCCACTGGATACAGCTTCCAGTTTTGGCTTTGTGACTGGTTCCTACCAATTTTCAGAGGACTGGGCACTTGGGTCAAGTTTTGCATGTCAGTCAGTCACCAGCAAGACTCAACATAAACATACTCTTTGTATGTTTGTGAAAATGTAGTATTACAAAAGAAATCAAACCAAGAGAACTGGTTAAAAAACCCTTTGCTACTCTCCCTCCTTCACTATTCTGTGCAAAGTTCAAACGTGCTTGAAGTTTGCACAAATACATGACAGAAGCCTTCTCAAGGTGCAGCCCTTATGCTGGTGAATTGAAGGACCTCTTTCTCCAAAATGCCTCATCACTCCGTAACATTTACAGAAGTTAGGAAATTGCTACAAAAACTGTCTCCTCACAAATACAAATCACAAAAGTGGTGCCAGGATAAAGTGCTTAGAATGTTTTAGAAATCAATTTATATTAGGATAAAGTGTTTTGTTCTTGCAATAAGATAGCTTTTCAAGATTTATGAATTTAACTGTTCTGACGACACATTATGGCACCACTTGCTTTCCATGTCCAACAGCTTGCCGAGACTTATCTTTCCAGCTTCCTCCTCCCTCAATCAAGCCTCACTACCCTCCTGCTTTCTTCCTTTCATTATTTTTTTCGGTTCTCTACCATCAAACTTCAAAGCATAAGTTCAGGACCCAGAATAGGCTTGACGGAACTTACTAGTTAAAGCTGCACATGATTTCTGAATTTAGGATTTGGAAACTGGCAAACTGTGGCAAATATAAGTATTTTAAAAAAGTTTTGAAACAGTGCACTTTAAAATATAGAATGGACAATATATAAATACACCTACATCACTGTTACTTTCTACGTATTCAGGGTTTTTTTGGTTTTGGGTTTGTTTTTGGTTTTTTGGGTTTTTTTTAAAGCTTCACTTCCATACCTGTAATCCTAGCAGGAATACATACTCCCTTAAACAGAAAGACCTACAAGTTAGCAAAGTATGATTTCTAGTTTCAGACTACATAGGTAAACCCCTCTGAAAACACAATGAAATACACAAGTTTCCTTAGGCAGAATTAGCATTAAAATTAGCTTCTTCAAAATCCACCCAAAACTTATTAAAAGCAGAAGTAATAGCAGAAGGAACACACACAGATGTGCTGCCCAAGCTTGCTTTAATTACAAGAGTTAATTTTCCAAGTTTCTTCCAGTAAAAAAATGGGATAGTTCAAGTAATAAAATATGGTTGGTAGTTTGTTAAAAACTGAGTGTAGATTTGAAAATGTGAGAAATATCATATTTTATCCTTCTATCTTGACCAATTTCACAAGATTTCAGTTGTGCTACTTTGGCCTTGTGGAAGTCAGAAATTTTACCAATCGTATTTTTCATCCAACTTCTTCCACCTTGCCAAAAGTAAACAATTTTACACCATTATAAAATTGGCCCTAGGTGTTGCAATGAGTATTTTATAAGCAAATAATAAGATTCAAAGCAAGATACGCGCCTCCTGGAAGCTTACCAAACTTTTTTCCTTCTCTGGTTGTGCCTGTCATCTTGATCTTGGCAACTTCAAAGAAATCTTTTATTTCCCTTTCATATAGTTGTGATAAATAATCCATCCATATATAATTCTTAAGAAAAATGTAAAGTTAGTTAACAGGTATAGATATTGACTTTGTTCTGTTACTGTTAAATAGTAGACTGAGGTTAAACCATGACAAGTATATAAGTTCTACTAAATAACAAACTGTTTTGGACTATATATGTATATATATATTTATGTAGCATGCACAAAAATATATTCGTGATACTTAAGCAGGTTATATAATTTTCCTAGTGAGTTCATAAAATTGCTACTTCGCCTCCATAAGGAAAGATATGCAACGTGGTACATACGAATAGGATTACTAGTGGTAGCATCATAGAATTCAATTTGAGGGTAGAATGGAGAAAGTTCAGCACCATTCTCTGTAGCCTCTTTTACTAGACTCCTACTATGCCAAAAAACCCCCAAACAAATAGGATGCCGTTCCTACACATCTTCCCAAGTACGTGACCTCCTTTATTACTATTCTCACAAGGAAAACAGAAGACCAGAAGACTTTGGGAGGCACAAACTCTGTATGCCTACTTACTACAAGATTCAATCAATCCCAAAATAATTTGTTTGCAACACTGCTAAAAATAAGCTCAAATTTTGAAAAGACAAGAGACATAACAAATGAAGTAAGTTTGAAGATTATCTGGTTTGTTTAGATTTTTAGTACAAAGGTTATAATTATGTTTTATTTATTGACAAAGATCACCCAAGAATTTTTTTTCCTATGTTCTTAAAAATTTTGTTACTTAGCACACTTAATACGTAAATATGTAAGTCTCAATTTTTTCTTAGAAGATCACGGAGATGTCAACCATTAACAACTGAAGTAAGTTTGAAGATTATCTGGTTTGTTTAGATTTTTAGTACAAAGGTTATAATTATGTTTTATTTATTGACAAAGATCACCCAAGAATTTTTTTTCCTATGTTCTTAAAAATTTTGTTACTTAGCACACTTAATACGTAAATATGTAAGTCTCAATTTTTTCTTAGAAGATCACGGAGATGTCAACCATTCATTGACCATTTGCCTTACACTGAAGGCAAAAGAACAACTATTTCAAAGCCATTTTAAAAGTCTAATTTAAATCCTCCATGGTTGAGTTTTTAAGAATGACAGTACTTTAATAAAAGACGACTTGTTCTGTAAGGACTAACTTGCCCTTAACTTCTATCTAAACATTTTCTATACTTCTGTAGTAATTTTTTTCACTCCATGTCAGTTTTAAACAAGGTAGTTAAAAGTTACATATATACAAAGCCAAAATATTGCTATTTAATCTACTTTACAAGACACTTCTTAAGTTTTTGATATTCCCAGGTGAAATGAAGGTCTGTTGAAATAAAGATGTCACATAGGCAATAAGCACATCAACATGAAAATAGCTTAATTATTTTTCTTACTGGACTGTGAAACAGCAAACTTGTTTTACATAAATATTAATATCTTACGATACTTTAGAACAGAGACATAGAATCTTGGAGAAAAAAAAAATACGGGATACAACAAATACCAAAAAATGAACTTTCCTGTTCCAAAGAGGAACAAGAAAAGAGGAGCAGTGAATTAAATTTAATATAAAGGAATATTAAAAGGACATGCACATACACACAGGCAATTCTTTTGACTCTCAAAAATAGTATATTATGTACATTCTCTAGCATCATTTCAGCACTTCACATACCTTTGTTAGCCCTTCGTACTTTCCATAATCTGTGTTCTTGAGCCACTCCATCAGTTTAGCATATCGAAGTAAATCTCTGTGAAATGGATGGTGATTGGGTAATGTCAATTCAACAGAGTGCTGGGCAAGAGTAGAACTCTGATCGTGACCCTTGATAAGAGAAAGTATTAAAGTAAATCTGGAAGCACTATACAAGATGTACTAGAAGTTTCCTGAAAAACTTAAAATGAAGACAGCATCCCATTCAGACAAACAGAAAAGCATCAAGATATCTTGCATAGAAACAAAGTCTAGAGACGCAGACTGAAAAGATGCCTAACATAATATGGACACCGAGATATTACAGTTGTGGCAGATAACGCATCTTAGTAAGCTTGTTCATTGTAAGGCTCTTGCTGTTTACCACTTCGCCTTCAGGGTTGAGTCAATTTGGCATTTTTTGCAAAAGAATGCAAGGTACGCCTGAGTGAAGATTTAATGACAAGTGTTCAACTGTTTCTGAAAAAAATTTGGCATTTTTTGCAAAAGAATGCAAGGTGAGTGAAGATTTAATGACAAGTGTTCAACTGTTTCTGAAAAATTCTAAGACATTATTACATTATTTCTCTAAACAAACAAAAACCCAAAATCCATAGATGTTGTTCTTATATACTGTAAGACATTTCAAGTCCCCAGTCAATGGCCCAGGTGTTAATGATGAGCTTTATGCTATGCCTCTGAAAATCTGCTCCAATTCAACCCACTTTAGTCCACTTTGGCCAAGCCTTGGTCAAGTCTTAAAAACATCAGTTCACACACATTCTCTCCCTCCACACAAATGCAGACACACATACGCTTTCAGTAAACATTTACTAGAGTTAAACAGTTTACGACATGCAGCATAAACCAATCCATTTAACAGCAAGCTCCTAACTTCACGCTCCTCCTTTTCTCTGGCTTATCTCCTGAAAAAACACACTATCCTTTAAGTGAAGATCACATCATATTGCTTGAACAACATATGATTTAGTTTTTTTTAAGCTTCCACTTGCTTGAACTCAAAAGGTTCCTGGGCAATTCAGGAAGCAAGCAAGGTAACACCACAGTTCAGCCATGTAGCGGAACACACAACCATTAGCCCTGGGTTAATGGAGGGGAGGATGGAACTTAATTTCAAAATGGCTTTATTATTTTCTGTAAAGTCTTTTTTTACCGGGCTCGCAATAAATACAGCAACAGAACTTGATCTTAAGTATAGTTTGTGCCATGGCAGCACAAAAAAATTGTCCTAATTGCTCTCCAATTCCTGTAGCATAACATGCAGGGGGTTTATGCAGGTCAGTCAATGTCAGTCCCTGAGAGAGGAAGCATTCCTGGACAGTTCTGTCTTGGATATGACAAGTTGGCAGAATACAAGCTCTACAGTTTAAAAACTGCCTTTGCATGTCTAAGTTGGAACAGAAGCCAGTTTGGATCACAGAGTCAAAACTAAAGCAACTTTGGCTCACCCTTCTCTACTGTTTTGGGTACTAATCAGTTCAAGTCTTTGGGTAAAAAAAGCCCTAAAAGCTTCCACAATACATTCACGGATTTTTGTTTTTAAAAAGCGAAGATTTGAGTCTTGATATTATTTGTAAAAGACTAACCTTTACTACGTAATACAATGCGAACATGCCAGCTTTTGAGTAAAGTTGGACTACTTTTTTGTATCCAACATGAATATGCACTTACTTCAAGTCCTGTTCTCTTAACTACATAAACTGAGACACAAACGGACCCAAAGAAACAAGTCCTAGACAACTTCATTCATTTATTCTCACAGACAATGGGGAAGAGTCACACTGTTAATCTCCCTTCTAAAAACAATCTTGTAGTCTGACTCCAACAAAAAGCTAACTTTGTAAAGTGTAATTATTGCAACATATAATTTGGAATTGGAATCCAGCCAGCATTAGCCACACAGCTGCTGATGTGATTACCGAGGTCATACTTGATTCTGCGTGTACTTCTGGGCATGCGTATAGCAAATATTTTCAACAGAGCTTTGATATGCTTTTATAAAAAACTAGATATAGAAAACCATTTATGGTTCTCTCTCCTATCCCCTGGTGTGCAACATTCCTACAGCATGCATTTTAATGTTCAAGTTCATTATACTTTAAGGTAATTTACCTGGTGGCTTTCACCACTTTCTTCAACTAAGTCAGTCCAAAGGCTAGTTCATATGACTGCTAGAAAATACTCAGCTATCCAAATTTTTATTGCTTCTTTCATCTAACAATTTTATTCCTGTCCCTTTATTACATACAACTTTTTATTTTTGCTTAGCAGTTGCATTCTTCATAAAGCTAGATGACAAATCGCCTCTCAAGATAAATTTCTCTCTCCAAGCCAACTTTCCACAGGACTAATCATTCTGGTTGTCCTAAATTATGTCCTGTTCCAAGTCTGCTCCAAAACATTATGGAGCTTCTAGGTGTACCTTCTCCACCTAATTAACAGGCTTCCTCTCACTACACATACATTTATACTAACTGTTACCAAATGATACTGCAAGTTTGTTATTCAACTATTTCATAGTTTTCAAAGCTTCAAACTATTTCATATTTCAAAGGCAGAAAGCCCAGAGTTGCCTTCTAATTCAATGCTGAACCTGGTTGTTAAAAAAAAAAAAATCTTTAAAGTTATAGATACACAGTAAGGTTAATCAAATATTATTAGGACACAATAAAGACAACTACATTAACTGTTAGTAACAGTTACTGCAAACAGTTTTTAACACTGCAGTGAATGGCAATCCAAAGTTACATTTCTGTTTAAAGCTTTTAAGATTTATTCTCACTTTTACGTAAAGGAGATGAAGCACCTTAATATCTTAAAACAGTAGTTTGAATCACAGCATTGGGTTTGTTTGCTTTTAAAAAAAGAACAATTTCATACTTCTAAGATAATATATTTAGGCCGAAATTTCAATGCAACTTTGGTTTTCCATCTAATGAGTTCCAAATCAGAATATCAGATATCATAATCAGCTTGTATTAGCAGCTATGTCTTGCTTGTATTAGCAGCTACCTAGACATCATTGTGTTTTCATTTGCCATTTTAATTTAGAAATCTTTATCTTCCTTAGTTTTTTCTGAAGTGCTTTATTTTTTTGAAAGAAACAGTCTGAAAAAATAATGCAAATCTTCAGATGTTAAAAGTAACAAAGTATTCCAGTTAGACTTTTCAAAAACATGGGACTGAGAAATTGCTGTATTTTATTAATCAAAAAAGGTCATTGTAGTAAGATAACACAAAAATCTGTTATACCTCCAACACTTGAATCTGTACCTCAAAATGAAGTACACAAACTTTTTTTTTCTTTTGCAAAAAGAAAAAAGGCTTTGCAGAGGCTCATCTCGAGTTAATGAAGAGTTAATGAACTCTTCCTGCTTAACCTTACAGTGAGTGCCTACTTTTTATCTGCTGATTAATACCTCACAGCTAACAGCAGGCTGAAACTTTTCAGAGGGCAAGTTTATATGAAAGACAATGTGAGGACACTATTAGTACCAGAATTAAAAAATAAATAAATAAAAAATTGCAAATTGGTAATAGCATTCTCAATAGCACTGAAAAGTCTCTTTAGAAGTATTTAATCTAATACATGTATTATTACATAGTAATAATAATCTCTTACCATTTTTAAAAATAAAATCCCCAGAACATAACATCAGAAAAGGCATTCTGTTAAACAGCCATTTTCATATGCAAGTCCAATATTGAAACTCTGTGAACGCACTTATACAGGACTTGCACAACGTAGCTTCTACTAGCTCATTTAGAGGCCAGGACACATAGCCTGTGCTCAGTTTTTCAAAATATGAAAAGTAACAGGAGGAACATACCTTCTTAAGAACAGAAACTAAAGGCAAAAAGTTTAACATGCTGTAGAACTGGAATTCTTCTGCAAAGTGAAGAAAATATAGGAAGCACTTATCTTTGCCATAAAAAGCCAGGCTTGTACTCTCACATGCTCATTTAGAGGCTAGGACACATAGCCTGTGCTCAGTTTTTCAAAATATGAAAAGTAACAGGAGGAACATACCTTCTTAAGAACAGAAACTAAAGGCAAAAAGTTTAACATGCTGTAGAACTGGAATTCTTCTGCAAAGTGAAGAAAATATAGGAAGCACTTATCTTTGCCATAAAAAGCCAGGCTTGTACTCTCACATGCAATTTTCTATACAATTATCCAGCATAACTCTATTCTATTCCATTTTCTGCACGCAGTCTAATACATAAAAACAAAGACTTCTAAAACTTTGATTGCGCTAATATGTGTAAAAACTGAATTATTTTTCATTTACAGATATTACAATTTCACACAATTGCAGTATCTGTACAGTTGTACACATATTGCTATTTCCTGAAAATATTCCTCCTCCACACATCTCAATCTGTCTCTTAGTAATTTCTGGAGATCAGATCAGAGGAATGTTATCTCAAACAGATAAACAAAGCTTGAGGGCTGATAAAAATAATGGAAGTGAGAAGGGGCATAAGTCTGATGCTGTGCAATTGGTAAGGATAAATTTATTTTTGTAAAGCCAAAGATGCAGCTGCTAGTTAGAAAAGTCAAGCTCAAAAAAATTAGTTAGAAAAGCTTGTATCAAACCCGATGTACTCACTGGAACTGAAAGATAATAGGACCTGTTATAGAGTTGAAGGAGGGTCTGAGTAAACTAATTGGAGATAAAAAAATACAGAAATTAAACTGATGCTAAAAAAGGCATCTAGCCTTTAGGAAACAAGTCTTGGTACAGTGATTTCTGAATATTTCAAGTTAAGGCTCAAAAATCAAGGTTTAGACATTTTACTTTGTATGTTTTTGGGTTTTGGTTTTTTTTATGGCCCTTGAAGTTCAGACAGCAAGAACTCGAATGTTCTCAGCCTCTGACACCCTTTAACAAAAAAGTCAATGCTTTTTCTCCTCAATTAATCAAGCTTTACAATTAAAATAAATCCTCATATATCACGTGTTTAATTCAGATAGCAAACCCACTAGAGAGAGGTGTTTTGGGGTTTTTTTTTTAAAATATAAGAGACTTTTGTAGGCAACTATAGTTTGGTATGCTTAGTAATCTCTCTGCCTGAAGTGCCTCCAGCAGTCCATTCATTTACTGATTACATCACAGAACATGTCCAATTTTAGGTGGATTGTTTTTCTTCTCAGGAAAAGTTTGTGACCAAAAACTTCATATAAAATAGTAAGAAATAATACCTGCTGAACAAATACGCTGTTCAAATGACTGGCAAGTCTCCGTGCAAACTGCTCACGCAAGTCACTAAACCGCTGCTGTTGCTGTTTCACTGCATGAAGCATATCATGTCCTAAAAACAAAAAGAACTTCACAGAGTACAAAATATGTCATAATATATTGTATTGTACGTGGGAACCAAAAGAACCAGAGGTCACAATTCCCTCAAATCTACAGAAACAAAATCTGAGACTAGTTGGAAAGGCACATACAATAAAGGCACTACCATGACAAATTTTGTATGTTAGACTGTAGTCTAATGAAAACATTACCTGGCCGAAGAGCTACATTCATACACTGCAGAAGGGCATCAGCTGCATTAGTGCAGGCCTCAATGCCTCGAGAAGATGTCAGATCTCCCTCCTGAAGGGCCTTTATATGACCTTTAGCCAAATCCATGTGATTCTACAAAATAATGGGTAAGCCGTAAGAAGGTTAGTTTGTTAGGCTGCTGAACCAAGAATGATAAATACAATTCCATCATTACAAAAAACTTACTGAAGTTCGTGCAATAATAAAACAGAAAAATAAACTCATTATTTTAAATGAACTCATATATGGTTGCTAAAGAGGGTAGCAACCTAGACGAATTTTATACCTGATGTGAACAACCATAGTAAACACAATAAAAATGCTTACCACTAAGAACTCTATCTCTGACAGCAGCTTCACATTATTTGTGTTGCTGAGATGGATTAGGTGGTTGCTTTCTGAAATTTGATCCATTTGCTCTTTTACACTCTGAAGCATTTCTTCGTAACTGCTCAGCTTTAGCTCAATTTGGTCAACTTCCTTCAGAGCTTCATCCAGCAACTTCATCAAGATATTCACCTGTTTCTCCGAGGCCATAATTGACTGGATATTTGCCTGGACAGAAAATTAAGCCACAACATTTTAAGAGACATTTTTATATCTCAAAAGCTTTCTGATACCTCCTTCTGTCTCTATTACTGTCAAATAAACACTTTCCAAAACTCTTGATGAAAGCAACAAAACAATATAAGCTTGTAGTACTTCTCATTTAAAGCGTTATTGAACACAGCAGTCCCTCAGTCTATGACACTTCTTTATTTCATGAAGATATAAAACCAAAACTTTGCTCAAGTTCTTAGAACTGAAGTATTGATCTGCACAAAAATAAAAACCAAACAGTAATCCCTACTATACTGGCACATTTTTAGTTCCAGAAAAACAGCTTAGGTGGTAAGGTCACATTTTCTGTTGCAAGATCAACTATCTCTATGATAAGAGCCATTTTCAAAATGTAAGAGAAACATAAAACTTGACAATTTGAGGAGGTTGTTGACTGTTCCCTGAAGACTGTATTCCCTGCACCTCCTTAAGTTTTCTAAGTTACCTCTAGAACATTGGGTTGTTTAAAAAACAAAATAGCAAACAATCTGGTACTGTTACAGACAGCTGAATACTGCAACGTTATTAGACTAAGCCAGTTTCCTAATTACACTGAGAGTAGTATTTTAGGCCTAAGAGTTTACATCCGCGGACATGAACATCTATTCTCTCTCTCCCTGCACCCCTGCCTTCAAGAAAAGTATACGCAGAATGCCTCTCTCTTTTCTTCTCAACTCTTCATTCGAAAGCCTGCGACTTACCCCAGGCCTGGAAGGTAAAGAGCAAAAGTTGAAGATCTTCAAAATCTGATAATAGACAGGACGTAGCTCTGCTTAGGAGCAGATATACATTTATATTTAAATATGTGGCCGAACACATTAGCTACCTTTTCAAAGAACACTACGTAGACAGTATCAGTGAGAACAATTCAACATGCTAACACGCTGTACATTGGAAGAAATGTTTACCCCATCTAGCACTTGTAGCTCTCTCGACAACTTCTCTGCAAAGGCTTCAGCATTAGAAATAGCATATTCACACCCTTCCATCATTATTTCAATATCCTGCTCCTCTCTTGCATTTAACTCCTGGTATTCATCCACAGCCTCTTCATCACCTCCTGCTACACTTTGATTCTCTCCACTTGGAACAGATTCTTAGGTAGAGAAAGGAAATAAAACACATTATCAGTGCAGAAAGTCACATGCATTTTGAGAGTACTTAAGCATGTTCAACTATCTTTAAGTAAATGAATCCATTTAACTTTCATAACAAGCACCTGCTACCTAGGTACACTTTTTTCAAGTCTCAGTCTTCCACGGGCTTCATTAAGATTTCCAGAACTGTTCCCAACAGTGATCTTTTCCAAATTATGCAACATAAGCAAAATACAAATAGCCACCTTCCTTTATTGCATGTACAAAGGGACATACTGTCTCAGTTTATTCACCTCTCACGCTGGTAATCAGCATCAGAATAGATTACAGCATTACACTAGACTTGTTAGCCGAAGACCAGTACAAGTTAGATTCTCCCTTGGCAGACAGAGCATAAGGGAAACACATGAAAGTTGATTAAGAAATATATCACTGAATAAATAAAAAATATCTTGATGCTCAAGGTAAGTTTCACAGCAGGAAAATCAGTACTGAGGTAACTGAAAATTATATAACAATGTTTTAATGAACTATGATTTCTCATGGCAGTGCTTGCTTAATTCAACAAGCCATTCAAATGCTGACAAACTATTTAGAGAACATGAAGGCAGTCCAGCCAGAAAGCGTTTAGGACATTTGAAACATCTCTTATCTCTAGCAACTTGATAAGCTATCCAAAGCACTATTTAAAGTGTATTATTTAAGAAAAATTGCTTACAAAGCAGAATAAAGGAAAAAGGTGTTACGCACCTTCTGCAACTTTAGGCAGTTCTGAAGAATTAAAAGGTATGGAAAAGCAGAGGAAAGGAAGCAGAGAATGTTAGCTAGACAAAGCATGAACAGCGTGTCTCTTTTTAAGTTCAAGAACTTGGAAAGTTAGAGATTGGTTAAAAACAAATTTCAGTCAACACCAAAATACAGAAATGCTGTCCTTCCTGTTTTACATTTCTAATTCAAGTTCTTCCACACAAGCCAGTCTAGTATTTAATATCAACAGTTTAACCACTTCTGACAGACTAAACGTGAGATATGCTTACTCACTAGGCTCTACTAAAAATTTTTAACTATTAAAAAATAATGTGATCATAAAAATATTTAATAGAGCATGAGGGAACAAGATACAAAGCCTTCTTAGCAACCAGTCACATAAACTGTAATAGGGTCCAGCAGAATTTAATACATGCTTCACAGTTTATAAACTGGAAACCTCACATAAAACCTCACATAACCTTTAGCATGCTACTGAAGTGTCACTTTTAAAAGCATTTTTCTAATTCAGGGGAAGTGAAAACCGGAACAAAAGCAGATTTGGTACACATTTAGACCTACCAGATCTTGCAGGTAGATTTTATTTTGTTCAAGAAACAGAATCTTAGAAATACAATAAGCTTGTCAAAATTATCAAAATAGAGCTTCATTAATGAAGTATTTTGTCTCAGTTCTCAGTTTTCTAACAGAAAATCTGTTATCTAGTCCCTTGTTTATCTGAAGACTTAGAAAACATAAAAGAATAAAATTGAATAGGAAAAAAGGTCAGGATTATGATTTTCTTTTTTTTTTTAGTGTATCTGTTTTACATCAATAATGATTAAACTTTATACTTAACATACAGTTGTAGAAATTTACCTTTTTGTCTCAGTTCTCAGTTTTCTAACAGAAAATCTGTTATCTAGTCCCTTGTTTATCTGAAGACTTAGAAAACATAAAAGAATAAAATTGAATAGGAAAAAAGGTCAGGATTATGATTTTCTTTTTTTTTTTAGTGTATCTGTTTTACATCAATAATGATTAAACTTTATACTTAACATACAGTTGTAGAAATTTACCTTCCAAAAGCTGTGAACTAACATTAATAAAGTCAATTTTCTTTCTAAGATATCTCTGATTGAGTTTCCAGATACATGAAATGAAGGTGTTCTTTTCCACTGTGCTGCTTGCAACCCATTTGTACACTTTGTCAAAATGCAAGTCAAATTCAGGATTCTCCTGCAAGAGATGAGATATGTTACAGGCTCAACAGTCAAATGATTCTCTGAGCAGCAGAGATTGTTCACTCATTTAATTATTGAGATGACAGGATAAAAATGAAATTACACGGATGCCAACCTTAAGCTGATACACCAACTCTGGCACCCTGATCCACCTTAACAAAGGTGCTAAAAACACTGGAAGTGAAAAACCAGAATCCACGCTATGAAGACAGTATTTTGTCAAGCCAGATAAGGCAACAATAACACATAACACAGAGATCTGTAAGATCTGTAAGAGTTTCAAGAAACATTTGACAGCGCTGTCTGCCCTGAAACACTGTCCTCAGAATGACTAATGCCTTACGTTAGCCTTCTGAAACTAAAAACGGTAGCTGGAATTACTGACAACATATACAACACAATTCAAGGAGACTTAGGGAAATAGGCAAGGGAAAAAAATTACGAGCACTTAATATATTTTATAGATATGATAGTATTTGATAGTGCTGAACAGGATATAAAAGACCATTTGGTATTTTAACAGTAGAAAAAACTACTATAGAAGTATTTTCAACTACATTTATTGCCTGATGAGAACGTTGCTTTGACAACATTTGATTAAAGTACTTTCCTTTCTACAGCCACTTATGAACTCAGTATGGACTGTAACTGGTAACAGTCTGTTTTAAAGACCATATTCCAAGCATTTTACAAGGTCCAGCCTCCTTCTGATGAAAAATGTTATTGCCTCAGATACATGTTAAATTCTTACTTACACATAGTTTGTAAAAACTACTATTGCTGCTACTTATTACTTATGTTGTCACTACTATCTGTAGAAGCAGGCTGCATATGAAACCGCATACGAAGGGAAATGGTATTTCCTGTACAGCGCAATAAAAGCAGTTCTGTTTTTTTTCTGTAGCTTATCTTGGTAAATATCATTACCATACATTTCTAAACAAAGACCATCATTACATAAAATTTGAGTTGTCTGACAACTAGTGCAGGAAAGGCGTGTGTCAAGAGAGTTGCATAGGATCACATGTGGAAACCAAAACATGATGCACCTATCAACTTTAATTCTGACATTTTCTAATATGAGTGTTTGGCATTCAACGTTTGTTTTTTGAAAGAAAATACCAAAATCTCTCATTAGAGTGGTATATACATTACAGCACATTTCTGAAAACAGTTAACCAAACTGTTTTGCAAGAAAAAGCCCTGAAAGATGGTATAATTTTAAACGGAACCTTAAACTGATAGAAGCAATTCTCCAACACAGTATTTAGGAACAGCAAGGAAAATCTAAAATGTAGCCAACAAGTATGTGGATAACTGAAATAATAAAACATATTTAACCTACACTTGGACAGGGGGATATCAAAGAATTTTCAACTTCATAGTTTTCTGCACTATTCTTCCAAATCACCAGTTAACAGAACATAAAACTAGACATCACAGGATGAAGGATTTTCACCTCTGCCTGTTTGTACATCTTAGTTTATGACAACAGATGAATTTAAATGGCCAAAAATAGGTGGCTCTTGTTGTTCTATGGAAAAGAACACCACCTCAGGACTGCACACTTTCCAACAAATGGCCAATGTCATGATTTGGAGAACAGATATAAGAGCTCACCTTGAAGCTTATATACTGCTCATTAAGAATGTTTTAAGTGTCCTAGCAAAAAACACTACATATAGCTCAATGTCATTAGTAAGACGGTAATAAATTTTTTTTAAGGGGAAACTAAGCTTGGAGTAAAAATTTACATAAGACTTGAAACAAACAAAAAAGTACTGGTCCTTAGCACAAGCACTCTACAGTCACTGAGAGATCACTACAATATACAGGGCAGATATTCAGAATACTGCTAGTCAAGCAGATCTAGACTACTCTTACTCAGTTTTCCAGGGTTATATTCTTGGAAAGGCAGGAAGAAAACGCAGGCGTAAGCAGCACAGGAATGTATCATCCTAATTCCTAATTAATGTGTTATCATTCTAAGCTTTAAAGCAGTCAATATCAGGGAAGTTAACTCTAACTTGGAACCAAAAGGATGTTCTGAGCAGAGCACTAAACGAAAAGAAGTTACACGTACTTTAACAGCATCTTTGGCATCAACAACAGCGAGATCTCGAAGTGCCCATGCAGTCTGCCTTTTGTAGAAATCTCCCTTGTCGGATTTTTTCACTTTTACCACATTTACTTGCACTGGTCGTTCCGTTGTCACTGTTAAATGAAGTAAAAGAGTAATTTCAAAATGCACAAATCACCTTAATATATGTTTCTGCTGTATTTCAACTTCTGAAATGAATTATCTGTGGGGGAGATTTCATAATATTTATTTGATGAAAAGAGACGCTTTGAAACATTTTCAGCCACAATATCCACAGCTCAGTTTAAGTCTCAGTCAACCAGATATACATCTTTATACAGCTTGGGAAGTAATGAACCCAATTTACAGATAGTTCTTTGATGCAGCAGACCTCAGACCTTGGCCACATAACTGACAATGCACAGCGGTAATTGGAGATTATAGTCAGAATAAAAACATTTTCTGAGATTCCTCAGTCAAAAAAAAAAAATTCTAGCAAGCTAATTTATTGACAGATCGACCCAAAGCACCTAATTTTTTTGAAGAGACATAATATAATACACATACACTCAAAAGAACATTAGACTTCAGTTCAGTTACTGTGCCTTTCCAGAGCCCTCTGCCTTGGACTCTAACCAATACTCTTTACTGCATTTTATTTAGGCTGATCAGCCTAACTGCCTCCTAAATCCCCCTTTAAGCACTACATAAAGCCTGCTTCAAAAGCCCACCAGTCCCACACAAACAATTTTGACTCTTTAATTTCAAATTACAATGAGATCTGGGAATAAAAGTACAGGGTTTTGTTTCTTTTTTAATAGAAGCAATAATGGAAGTATAAGCTACAATTGATTTTCTCCATTAGAAATGGAAAGTACCTGTTTTATATGGGGCAAGAATAAATATTGTAAGTAAAGCTAAGACAAATGCAACTGAATAAAAAACAAAGGTGAAGACACGAAATACGGTGTAGTATTACTATGTACCTGTGGCACACAAAAAGCAGTTTCTCTTTTTTTTGCCTGCTTTGCACACGTTCACAATGCTCAACAAGCGTTCATCATTGGGAGTGAAAATATCCCTCTGTAAAGCATGCTTGATTGCAGTCATTTTCTCTCAGCTGAAAGATTTTAAGAAGTCATAATACATTCAGGCACATTTAACACACAAAAAAAAGAACCAGTCATTTACTTACAGCAACTACAGTTTTTTGAAATGAAATTTTACAGCTAACTCAATAAATCATAATCTAGACGAGCATGATTTAGGTAGAAGACCAGCCCACTTTAGGAAAAAGTCCAAGATAAAGCTTACTACCTTACTTCAGTTAGACAACTGTAATTTATCAACACTAGGATGATCCTTCTGCCTAATTGAATGGAGAACAAAAAGCTTCTTAGTAGTAAAGTAGAATGTGAGGCATTAACAAAAAAAGTTGAAATGGGAATCAAGAAAAAAAAAAAAGACTCCCTCACTAAGTAGTGGAATTTTAGAATGGGTATGAATGCCGTGGATCCGGTAAAAATCTGTATGAAGACAGGTGAACAAAAAAAACCCAGAAAATTTGACAGGATGGAGAATGTGAAACTAAAGTCACTACAGTGATGACTTTAAATGAAACTTCCTAATTCTCTTCTGATAGAGGGAAAAATCATTCTGATTCAGGATCAGTGTCCCTGCATGCTTCCTCACTCCTTCCTGCCTTGGTATTGTAAGAGAAATTCTAAATTAGTACTTGATCCCATGTTATGGGAATTCTCAAGTATCCTGCTCAAACAGCTTTCTTAAAGCAGAATAAGTACATCACATTCTATTTGGCGGCAAAAAAACCCCAAGCCAACCAAACAAAAAAAATTCCAGTCTGTACTAGAGTTTTCTCAGGTTTGATACCTCTGTAAAGAACATTTGTGGTGGTGATCTGTTATCAAATTCATCATTGTCAGTTCCTGGAGAGAACCTTATTATTACCATATGAGTGGCACCGTGTTTATAACTTAACTTTACCCAGCAAGCAGGCATTACTTTTTTTTTTTTAAATTAATAAAAACACAAGACATTGCAGAGGGCCCATCTAATAGAATTTAATAAATTTTTCTTAAGTCAGATTTATCTTCTGGATATTGAAGTCTCTTTCATAAAAGCTTCCTTATAACAGAACAGCTCCTGGAAGACACAAACTATGGGAACAGGTACACACCTAAGGCAACAAATCTCTGAGCCTCTAGAAATACAGCTTAGGGTTTGTTTTGTGTTTTAATGTTTTGCAAAGACCTGTTTCACTGCTCTTGCCAGCTACCACATACTGTTAAATGTAACAGGCTGCTGTTCTTCCTCTTTATCCTCAAATGAGGGTCCAGCAATTGTTACAGTAATGCAGAATAAAGAAATGCATCTTTGTAGCTGGTAGAAAGGTCAACTTCAAGGCCGTCTAGATCTGAAAAGGCCACAACACAGTTTTGCAAAGATAAGTCCATTAGGTTTGACTAGTTTGCTGCCTTTTCTTAGATGCATGGACTGGAGCTCAGAAATGGAACACTCCTTTTGATTATGGAGTTTCTTACCTAGCAAGGAAGTAACAGGATATTTCAAAAAGAGAAAATAAGCACATACGCTTAGTAATAAATCAAGAGATTTCTTCCAGGAATCAAGTGCTGACTTGAACCCTGTACTCTAACCAAATGCTAAAAGAGACAGACTCCTGCTGAAAGATAGTAAACAGACATTACTTATTCACTCTCATAGCCTGTAACAGCAAACACAGGAGATTGTACAAGGACATCACGGGCTGCCCTTCACACCTTCAGGTACACTGGCAGGTACAGTTTAATGCCAATGACGCAGTCGCATACCAAATCAGACCATTAGGTTGCATGAATGAGGTACATCCACCATTAACAGCAAAAGTACTTTCCTAACAACACACAGAAGTTTGCTTTCTAGTTTTTCTTCTCATTAAGAATAGAGTTTTCAGGTGATTTAGGTGAGGTAGAGGGGCAGAAAAAGAGGTAGAGAGAGATTGGGGAGGTGGGGGGTGGTGGATCTGTTCACAGGGTTCCCCCTTCAAGTGATTCACCTCTGCAGTAACAGCATCCAACAGTGGGAGAAAGTGAAGGGTGAGAAGAAGGGGCTGTAAGAAAAGAAAGCTGTTCAGATTTGCGGGATGCATTAACAACTGGTTTGTTTAAAAACATTCACTGAGAGTTCTGAACTTCTTTGGCAATGCCTTCAAGTAAGTATGCAACAGGCTCAGAGAAAAGCATTTGTACTTCTAGCATGTTCATTTATGATGAAGGATTTGCAGAGGTAAAATAAGACCAACATTAAATTAACCGTGCACCAAACAAGAATAAAATCCCAAGGAAGTCACAAAATTCTGAAAGAGACTTCCGAGATAGACTTCAGTATAATCACCTGGTTCTCTAGCAAAGCATGGTCTAGTCCCCACCAGATTCTAGAAATGCAGGGCAGGGGGGGATGGGACGACACCACCCAATACTCAAGCTTGCAGAGACCAATCAAACAAGAAAACACCTAAAACCCCACCAAGCTCCAGAAGATTAAGGAACTAACAATATTCACCTGATTCAGAACAGTTCCTCAAGCTACAGAGAGGTTCTAGGTAGACTAAAAAGAGCAACACTTAGACATCACATTCCAATGCTTTCACTTAAATACAGAAGCTCCAATATTACTCTGAACTTGTGCTTTAAAATTCTACAGTGTGTTAAAACATGATTAATATACATAACATGCTACACTGCCTGAGGCCGAGACAACAAAACAATATATGGAGTTAAATTTTAGGTTGGATTTTTCTCTTGGAGATGCACTGGTTGCTTTCTCTGACAAATACACAGCAAAGACAAAAAGGTTCCTTTGGCACTTGAAACAGAAAAGGCACCTACTTTTCTTTTAGCCTTTTATGTCCCACCACCACATCTCTCAGCTTAGGGAATCTAGTAGTTTTAAAGATTAGTAACCCAAGAGCTTTGTGAAAACAAGGGCCAATATATCAGGCTGCAATCTGTATTGCCAAGTGTACAGCGCTCAGGGCATTCAAAGAAATGCTGTTTACATGACACCCCTATGGCAATATAACACTCCATAGCTGCTAACGACTTTCCCCCCCTTTCATCAAATACTGGGCCCGGCTTTTGTTTCCCAAATTGCATCAGGTTGTCATTCCCGCTACTCATCAACAGGTGCGCAAGATGAACACACAAAGTGCCAACAACCTGCTGCATTTCAGAAGTATCCCCCCTTTCCTTCCTGATTTAGGATTTTACTTTCTGCTCAACATCACATTCAGACTGCTGCAACTCACTAACCCTCCCATTTCAGTGCTAACACGTGTTGTCCAGGTTGTGCCAAATAGACCATTCCCATAAAACAGAACACGTTAAACGCAAGATCAAAGACTTGCTCTGACATACAGTCCAACCTCTCTTAAAAACTCAGCCCCCTTAGTCACAGCCACCAAAACCTTCACAATGTGCCAGGACCAAGTACATCACTAAGTTCTTCACACATGACTCCTGCTGTCCCAAAGGAACACAGAATTAAGCACAAGGAGCTGGAGATAAAGCTGCTTCCTCAGAAAGCTTCAAGAGATCTCAGACCGTGCTGCCTCTAATGAATCCCTTTAGACATTGCTGCATTTTTTTTCCAGTGATGTTACAGACAAAGCCTCGGCTACGTGAAATCTATCAAAGACATCACGTCACAGACATAGCCTGTCCAGGAAATACATGGGAAAGATTCAACAGGGCAATTTGGTAAGGCTACTTAGTGACCACTTCTTAACCTCTCCAAGTGCGTAAACAGGAAAACATGCTACTCCTGCATCTTATCAGGCTAAAACGTAACACGAGAGCGTGGCCTAACTGTGACATCCCCTGGAACCGATCAATCAAAAGATCAATCATTTAACAGGAGAACTCAGAAGAGTTACTCATCGCAGCGGCGGCCCCCCAAGGGCCCGTCTGACACCAGCTTCTCCGCCTCCCACCTGCGAGCCCCGCAGAAACCGACCCGGAGACAACCCCCCGCGCAG